TTTCGGGCCCTCCCAAGCGAGTCTTCGGCGGACAGCCCCGTTCTTAGACGGATTGTCAGTTCCAAGTCATCTGAGAGATTCCATATTTCTAAAGGCGTTAGTTATTCTACGATCAGAGAAGAATTTCGTAAACATTTGTCTCCATTTGTTGACGACATTAATTCATTTTGCACTCATAGTATTAGAGCTGGTGCAGCGTCTAATGCAGCCAATAAAGACGTTGTTGATAAGTTGTTAGACAGGCACGCTGGTTGGCGTTGTCCTTCTTCAAAGTTTAGATATATTTCTTTTTCCAAAGATYWATTGTTAAGTGTTTCTAAAAACCTAGGCCTTTAATGTATTTTTGTGAGAATTTTTGTCTTTTGCGGGGGAAGTGAGTTTCGTGCCTTGGCCCCGTCCAGATTTCCTCTTCTTTCGTGAGGGTTTTTTTCKGGCCTCCCTGGCACTTCTCTAATTTAGGATTATTTGWGTTTACTTATTGTATTTAATACGAATATTATTGTATTTACTGTTGTTGTATTACCTACAGTCGCTTATAAGACCAATACAATATTCAAAAAGTATTGCTAGTGTGTGATGTGTGTGTTTAATGACGTTGAATAGTGTAGAAGGTCTATTTGATTTCGAAGTCTTTTCTAATGATTCGAAATTTTCGTTCAAGTAGCTCTTTAAAAAAAGTCTGAAATCATTACTGATAAATASCAATTTGGTGATTAATGTACATGTACATTCAAATAAATAAGTTCCATTATTTGATAAACTTCCAMGACAAAGTTCATGGCATAGGCATAATTTAAGTTCAGTATTTGAAAACTTGATGTTCTCATACCTTTTTACAGCCACTCAAAGTAATTGCTTTAATTTCATTAGCTCGTTTTGCATCACCAAGCAACGGTTCTAGTGGTTTYCCAGTAATTTCGGTACAACATGATAAGATGAGCTCTTCAATCACCTGGCAATGATGGCTCACAGAAGCCAAACTCTCATCCTTTATTGATCTACATGCAGACAAGTCAAGCTTTCTGAGAGTCTTGCCTGAGCTTGAACACACCTTTCAAAGAGATGTCAATTAGTCAATTCACTAACTATAACCTATATTGTAATGTCTAATATGATTATGACATCAATCCAAAAACATTTGCAGGAATTGTGAAGTTACAGGTCTATTAACACACAGATGACCATGATCTCTAATTGAAAATCTTGCAAATTGGGTGCAACAACTATCACCAGCACTTTGCAAATAGTTTGATTTTGATACTGTGGCACACTTGACCTTTAATTTACTAAATTTAAAATTAGTCTATTCATATTCCTTTTCTTAAGTATAAACAACGAAAGACTATCAGAGTGAACGATGAGGTTGACAACCTTGACACAATCTCGTTGGCTAACCAGATTGAGTCACGTTCCATTGCCGGGTGTGATGTTTCGTGAAAGTGAGGTTGACTTCATTTTGTATAGAAATGGGAGGACAATCAGGAGATCCCGAAGACGAAGTTGCAACCACAAAAAAAAAAGAATTTACGTGTTGCATTTTGTACCTCGTGCCCAGCACTCTGGCCTGTACCACGAGTAATTAGCTATAACATAAACATTGGCGCTTGCCTATTGAGGAACAATTCTTGTATTGTAGTGTACAATAATGTATATTTTTTGGTAAATCAAATGAGCACCAACATTAACTAACTATATGACAAATGTTGAAGATAATGTCACTTGTAATCATAAATTATTTTCGTTTTTACTCACCACTTCTATAACACTGTCATCTACAGCCATGATTCCACACAGTCTGAGTGTTTTGATCAGGGGAAGCCCAGAAACAAGGTCTTTTATCTGGTCATCTCTCAACTGGACACCATGTAGAGTTAGCTCAGTCAATGTAGCTGGAAACACATCCATAGACACAAAGTTTGTGCCATCCTTTATTGTTTTGTAACAAAATCCTACATCTAGACACATGAGTTTGGGACATCCTTGCTTGATCTGTTAAATTAATTCCAGGAATACAAAACACACSTTAATATTCATGCTAAGAATATTGCTTGCATTCCCAATAGAAATAACTATTTGACACTATTTGACAATAACTATCTGAAACCATCACTAAACGTACAAAGTGACTCTATAAACGCCAAACTTTTTATTTTATTTTATC